CACATAGTTTTGCGCACATTTGTTATGGAAACGCAGCTGTTGATTCTAACATGATAAAAAAGAATAAAAGTTATGAACACCCTTTTAAAGAAATGTACCTTTAAAGTAGGGATGAGCACCTTTGTGAAAAGTTCGAGACATGAGAATTTAGATTTTTCGTCAAACTAATACATAAGAAAAAACTTCAGAAGCTGGGTGAATTTTTAATTTTTAGTACTTTTTTTGTTTGTTTTGTTGTTTTGTTTGTATGTTTGGGGCATTGCAAATAATTAAATGCAGTTACCACAAGATATTTGGTAATATAAATCATATAAGTCTTTAAGTGACTGCTGTCCTGAAGAAGCTGTGGGGCTATGCTCGCTGCACTGCAAAAAATTCTAATCTCAAATGAGTAAAATAAGTGCATTTTTTCTTGAATTAATGAGGTAAGTGTAACACTTTGCCAATGGAACAAGACAATTTACATTCAAAATGAGAAAAAACGATTACATTGTGTTATTTCAAGTGCATATTATCTAATTATCTTATTTTTAGAGTAAAAATATAAATTCCATTGGCAAATCATCTTATTTTCCTGCTCAAATGTACTTAATTTGAGACTTTTTTACTCATTTCTAGATTGTTTTTGCAGTGTGTGGTAAGCAGTCAAAGCCACACAGATACCAAAGAATTTTTTACAATTATTACCGTACTATAATGTCAGCCGATGTCTTGATAAGATTTTAAGTACAAATTGGCCAGTCCTTCTTTCAAGGTGAAAACATCTGGAGTGAAAAGAGAGCCGACCTCAGGAAGCTTTTGAAGCTGACTGACAGTATCAACACTCGCATGCTGCCCAGCATGTTTGCTGCCTGTGACAGGCGTTTAGAAGTGGATGATTGTGTGTTGAAAGCAGGGAGGGAGAGCAAACATAGGGGCTGCAGGTTCAGGAATAGCTCCCTCTCTCTTTGAACCATTTTTTCCCCCCCTTCCTTTATTCGTCCTGCATGACCTGCTCCATGATGCTGTCAACACTTGTGTCTGAAGCCCCTCAATGCTCCACAAATACAGCCTTACTGTAGATAGGAGCAGTCAGGCAGGGGCCAAATTAAGTGAGCAGGCAGCAGCAGAAAGAGACCAAACCAGACGTCGTTCTGGGATTTTTAAACACCAGGAGATGATCATGGTGACCTGCAGTGAGTCTGTGAGTTAAAGCTGTTTGGGTTTCACCTTTTCTGGAGGATCGTCTTACTGTTTGTGTTTGTTATCATCAGCAGGAGGATGAGATGAAGAGGAAGAAGGTGGTGCACATTGCCCAGGAAATCATGAGCTCAGAGAAAGTGTAAGTGTCTCAGACTAAAAACTTGTGTCTAAAAGTGATTTAAAATCATTTATCATGCTTTTTCTTTGCAGGTTTGTGGATGTCCTAAAGCTTCTTCACATAGTAAGTGTTGTGTTTACTCATCTCTAGTCAAAGGACATGTGGTGCCCTCTGTGAAGCAGAAAGACAGGATTAGTTTTTGTGCCGACGCTGTTTGAGTGGAGATGAAAGCTTTTTCTCTTGATGTGTGGTGTGTTAAAGGGGTTTACTGGTTTCACTGGGACAGCGGCAGGCAGGTAAATATGTTACCACAATGAGGAGAGAGCTGCTTTGATCCTTTCTTTAAATAAAACCACCGTAAAGGGAGTGAATTTGTTTTAATCTAAGAGAAAACTTTAAAGAGACAATTAACCTCCCATAAGGTTGGAGAGTGTTCTTGTGTGCGCTGGCATCTGTTTTCTGTTGTGACGTTGGTTGATGAATTAAAAGAAGCGGTACACGTCCACCAGAAGAGTGGCCATTTTTAAGACAATGTTTTGCCCTTTTACTTTAATTTTATTCATCAAAAAGCTGCTTCACTGAAAGGTGAAAATAGTTTTTTTAGGATAAGAAGGAACCGATAATATATGGAAGCGTGTCTTACGCAATAAAATCCCAATAGATACTCTGAGGAAGAGAGATTTCTTTGTTCCGATAACATTGTTTTATTTTTATGTAGTTAGTTATTTGATCAAACTATCCATTCCTTTTTTGAAACCTTGTTTTGAACATGTTATTCAAGTCTAGAGAGATAACAGAAACCATACTTGTTTAACTTTCCTGAGAAATCATTGATTTTAAGTCTTTTGTGCTGTTTTTAGTTCCATCAGTTCTTTCCCTCTAAATCAGAGGTTCCCAAACCTTTCAGCTTCAGACCCACAAAATAGTACCAGCATGGTGTCAGAACCCATACTGTTGGTTGGAATACAAATATACAATATATAAATAAAAAAAGAAACTGTCAACCACAGGATAAAAAGAGAATTAAAATCACTATAACTGGTTATTTGTTTTAATATCTTTAAACACATAAATATCCCTCATCATCAATATTTATCTTGTTTAGTTTAATTTCTGTTGTAGATTTCTAGACCCTATGCTCGTTAAACCGCACCAACCTTGGGAACCGATGCTTTAAATAAGATTATCTTATAGGCAGTTCATTGTTAGTACCACTGGCCGAAAAACCTGTTTAAACCCGGGAATTTAGTGGCAAATGACGCATCAAATGACTTGGCAAGTGACGCGGGTTAAAAGGGCCTTAAAGGTATACTATGCAACCGGTGTTGATTTTCCAGTGAGGCTCCCCCCAGAGGGAAAAAGTAAAAGTGCACTGTCGTAAATATGCTCAGCTGTTCTCCTGGTTTCTCCGTCAAGCCAGGCGCAGTTGTTTTGAGGTTAGCAGACAGGTGAACGCAACGCATCACCATGTCTGCTGCGGTAAGTTTTGGTAAATTTTGTTCCAATTTTCGAGTTTGAAAATTTAGCATGTTTCCGACATGGGCTTTCGCTGTTTTATCGCTGGTTCCGCCATAATAACTGCACAAATATCGCCACTGCGCTAGCAACGAGCATGCCTTTCACTGGAGGCGTGTAGAAGTTCTCGCCGTTAAGCAAGACCAACTCTCGCGATGCACGAGGGGTCCTGCAATTGCAAGTACGGTATTTCCCCTACACACCACCAGGGCGGCCGAGAAAACCTTTGTTCGACCTGAAATGACTCATTTAATCATCCAAAACGTTATGGAACACATTAATTAACTGAAAAATGTTGCATAGTATGCCTTTAAGACAGCTCAGTTCCAATCGGTTTACAGTGGGAAGATAACCAAGGTTGACCCGCTAATTTATGTGATACCATTGAGCGCAACATACGGACGTCAACATATCGCGCTGGTCCCATCTTATATTAAAAGCCAAAACAACTCTGTTCGCAATCGATAAACATGCTGCAGCATTGGTGAGAGAGATTCGGACAGACAAAAGAACGAAACAATAAAGAAAACTTACTGCACCAAATGTTGATTGTTAGCGGGTCGACCCATGGTTGAAAAACCTGTGTCGACCCGCTACTTTAAGTGGGAAAGAGGCTTAAACGGTGGTGTGCCTCAGGGTCGAGTTGTTGGCTCCCTTCTGTTTTCTATTCTCCTTGTGAAACTTATTTATAACAATGGTATAAACTGCATTTATTTACAGATGACTCTTAACTATAGATGGATGTAAAGTTATATTCACTCTACTGTCAGGAAATCCTTTGCATTTCTCTGAGTCAGAGCACAATTTTAAACAGATGTCATGTCTCTGTCTCTAAAACCTATAGGGAGCCATTTCAATCTCACAGTTTATCCGTCGTGACTTTCTTGTGAAGGAGGCAAACGTTTGAATTACAGAGCGTCAATAGAGAAAGTCACATATAAAGAGAAATATATTCACATTACCTTTGGTTTGTTGTTGATACGGAGAGTTTACATTTATGAGCCAGCGGCGTCATTTTATCAAATTAGCAGAGAAAAATCATAATCAGTCAGTTGTGCCCTGAATCAATTTTCTAACTGTCTAAGCACAATGAAATATGGCCTCATGCTGCAGCTTGGGAAGTTTATATCTGGCCCTAAACTAAAGGCTATCTCAGAACTGCCACTGTTTAAATAAATGTAAGCCTCCAAAATGATGCTTTTATCCTTTAAATGCTGCATTAGTCATTTATTGTCAGCTTGTTGTGTCCAATATTTATATCTATGCTGTCCCATTAGTTAACTAATGGGGATCATTGACCAGCTGACTACAGGATGTTTAGCTTTGTATAGAAAATCATCCATAAACATCCCCACTGCACCCAGAAATCTGCCTATGATCCCCACTGAGTATACTTACAGAATCACTTAAAAAACCTGGAATAAAGTAAGGTTAAGACGCTTATGTGACACTTGGATTTTTCTTTTGAATATTTTTCTTTCAGACACTCAAAACCTGAACTTCTATTAGCCTTTGTTTATTAAGGACACACATAGAATTAAAATAAGTATAGAAAGCTCCTAATAGCCTGTTGATGTGGCTCCAGTGTCCACCTGTCTGATAGCTTTAGTAAAACCACGGCTTGTTTAGTAGAAATCCCTGCTGGGGGAAGGGCCAGAAGTGGAGCCCTGGCCAACAGAAGAGGTCAGATAACATTCTTCTGGCTCTGCAGCAGCTGCTTCCTAAGGCTGCAAGCCATGACCTCAGCACACGCATGCCTATCATAATTCTGTTTCCTATCTGCTCATTTTTCTGAATCTGTTAGATCTTGATGTAATTTCATGATATGCACTCTACTGTTCGGAGATCCTCTGCATTTCTTTGAGTCAGAGCAGAATTTGAAGCGGACATCATGTCCCTGCTCGGCCTCCCTGATTCCTCCCAGGTGCATGTGTGAGTCGCTGCACTTGGCAAACTCAAAATGCTGACTTTACTGAGTCATAAAACGAGTGAGAGGGAGCAGGCAGTTTATGACCAGGTGTTCCTGTTCAGCTGCAGCGCAGTCCTGTCGATGATTTTAACCCCGTTTTTCTCTTTAGGACTTTCGGGATGCTGTTGCCAAGGCAACGCGTCAGAACGGGAAGCCAGTGGTGGAAGAGCGGATCCTCAGTCAGATTCTCTACTACCTGCCGCAGCTGTACCAGCTGAACAAAGACCTGCTGAGGGAGCTGGAGGAGAGGGTGGCACACTGGTACTCTAACATTCAAACTAACTAATCCTATCAGAACACTGCCGTCACACGCCAGGTCACTTCTGATTGGCTTAAAAACAAAACCAAATGAAAGGTTTACGGAGACCTTTTCACTGCAAAAACAATCTAGAAATAAGTAAAGATTTCTTAAATTAAGTGTATTTACCATTAATTTAAGTAGGTAAGTAAGAGGATTTGCCAATGGAATGAGTATTTTTACTCTTAAGATAAGATAATTAGATAACTTGAAATAAGAAAATGCATTTGTTTTTTCTTATTTTAAATGTAAATTATCTTGTTCCATTGGCAAAATGTCTCACCTCCTCAATTCAAGAAAAAATGCACTTATTTTAAGAAAAAATGACTTACTAAGTAACATTTTTGAGGATCTGGAACCTTTTAATTAGATAAAAAGGCAAAAACAGGACAAATCTATAAGGGAGAAAATACTTTTCTCATCACTGTATGATCTTTTCTACTTTTTTTAGTCTTATTTCTCCACCAACTCTAGTTTCTCAAAGAAGAGCCTGTTTTATTACTTGAATGGAGATAAAATGGAAACTAAAATGTCTTCAAATAACCTTCAGGTCGCTGGATTTATTAGTCTCCTCAGCTTACCGACAAAATTACTGCCGATCTGTTAACAGGAGCGACCATCAGAGATTGTCGGACATCTTTGTCCAGAAAGGTCCCTACCTGAAGATGTATTCCACCTACATCCGGCAGTTTGACAACAACGTGGCTCTGCTGGATGAGCAGTGCAGGAAGAACCCGGCGTTTGCGTCTGTCGTCCGAGAGTTTGAGGTAATTATTTCATGTGTATTTTCTAGATTGCAGCAGCATAAATTCACATCCAACTCAAAGAGGAAAATCTCAGTGTTGGGGGAAAAAATTCTATCGAAAATTAGCTGTACATTAAAATAGTGTAGTTCAAATGAAGACAGATGGTCAGTAGACTTCTCCTTTTGGTAAAAAGGCGCTTTTAAAAATAAACAGACAGGATATTAAGAATTTCTCCAAAGGGGGTTTTATTAAATACATTTTTAATCTTAAATTGGGATAATTTTTACATTTTCAGTGTAAAATTATGCTGCAGCAATGAAAAACTAATTCATTTAAAGGCTTTTTGCTGAACAAGAATTAAAGCGTTCAATGCAAACAAGGTTTCTGGTACCTTTGCATCAAAGCAACTCAAATTAAAATAATTTTAAGCTGTGTTTGTCAGTGTTTGTGTCTTCGTATGCAATCTTCGAAAGCTTTGTGTTTGTTTTTTTGACTCAGATGAGTCCACGATGTGCCAACCTGGCTCTGAAACACTACCTTCTGAAACCAGTGCAGAGGATCCCTCAGTACCAGCTGCTGCTCACAGGTAAAAACTCCTTCTCCTTCTCTGCTCTGTCCTCTCAGCACTCCAGGTCAACACTTTATTAGATCATGGCACCACTTTATTGGCAGCACGAGAATGAGGACGCTCTGTTGGCAGACACTTATGTAGCATATCGCCACCTTGTGGACAGAAGCAAAAATATATTCTACATCCAAGTAAAACTATTCTAACATTGTGAAGAAGTGAAAAATTACAAATGTTGGTTTAGTTTCTTAATTTATTGTCAGTGGCATACGTTTATACAGAGAATAGATGAAAGATAATTCATTATTAAATTAAAGAGCATGTCTGGGTTTGAGAAGGGTTAGAAAATATAGGTTGATGTTTTTTATGGTGAACAAAAGTTCAGCCAAACTAAAATTAACTATTTTCTTGATTTTTATATGTCTAAAAAAGGAAGAGGAAAGGAAGGAACCTCTAGGTGCTAAAAAAGGGAATCTTAAATTTAAATTACCTTAAAGAATTATTAGAATGCGACTAAAATTTAAAATAAGTTGGCATAAAATTAAATGATTATATTCTGAATTGAATTAAAAATGAATAAAGTATCAGTTAAAGTAACGGGATGAAAATAAATAAGCTTTTAATAAAGAGTGAAGGTAAACATTAAATGGTAAAAATGCTTTAAATGTTAAAAATAATACATGAACATTAAAGCAGAATGACCAAAATATTGATTTAAATGTGACAGAGAGAAAAATGAAGGCAACTGTGTCGATAATAAACAGCAGAGGTGAAATATGACAGGATGAAATAAAAAGATGAAGCAGGATCACAATCTTACTTTGTGAGATAAGACCAGGAAATAATGAATAACCATTCTAGATAAAAAACAAACTGACACATAGTTGAGTTACGCTGGGAAAGAATGTGTTTAAACATTTTACTCTTTTGCAGATTATCTGAAGAACCTCCCTGAGGACTCTGAGGACTATAAAGACACACAAAGTTAGTTGTGAATCTGTGTTTATTTCTTGCATCGACTGTTTTAAGGTTTAAAATACACCTTCACTGATTTTTTTATGTTTCCTCACCATGCAGCTGCACTCAGCGTCGTGAAGGAAGTAGCTAATCATGCCAATGACATCATGAAGCAAGGGGTAAGGCTTTTAATCACGTTAGTTTTGCAGAATCAGCCGCCCCTCCTCCTCATGTGCATGTTGCTGTTTTGCAGGATAACTTTCAGAAGCTGATGCAGATTCAGTACAGTCTCAACGGCCAGCATGAGATCGTTCAGCCAGGCAGGGTACGTCCTACAACTTTAATAAAATAAAAATCCTGTCAAAAGCACCAGATTAGGGAATGTCAGACTTTTATTTACATGTTAAAAAAAGTGATGGAGGGTCACAGTGTGGGAGTCTGTTCAGAGCCTTGGAGGACGGCCGCTCAGCCTTTGGACCTGGCATTGCAAACATTAGGCAAACATGTCTCTATTTCCAGGTGTTTCTGAAGGAGGGGACGCTGATGAAGCTGTCCAGGAAAGTGATGCAGCCGCGGATGTTTTTCCTGGTAAGCAACACGTTTCAGCTGCAGCCATTAATTAAAACATGAATTCGCAGTTGCATTTAATTGGTTAACCAGTTTATTCCAGCTTTTAACTCCATTTGTAAAATGATTGATCAGAAAACAACTACCTCTGCTGATAAGATCTTTATTTAAATATTTAGTCTATATTTATTTGTCCGTTTGGACTGATCTATATTTATAGGAGCATCATTAAAAAAATCTTCACCCTCTTTTCATTGCTAGTGTTTTATTTCCATTTTTTTCAGTTCAACGATGCTCTCATGTACACCACTCCGGTCCAGTCTGCCCAGTATAAACTCAACAGCGTTCTGTCTCTGGCTGGAATGAAGGTTAGAGGCACAACAAGCGGGTTGTTTTACTAATAATTCTCATTACCATCAGTTTATAAAACCACATTTTGATTCTTTTTTATTCCCAGGTGAGTAAGCCCAGTCAGGAGGCCTATCAGAATGAGCTAAACATCGAAAGCGTTGAGCGCTCCTTCATCCTGTCTGCCAGGTCAGCACTCGGCCCCCGGAACAATCCGACCTTAAAGGTGTTAACTGTGACTTTGAGTTCTGTCCTACTTTGTGTTTGCAGCTCGGCTAAAGAGAGAGACGAGTGGCTGGAGGCCATCGGCAAGGCTATCGAAGATTACACCAAGAAGAAAATAACTTTCATATCGAGCCGAAGTCAGGAAGAGGTAAGTATTAATCAGTGTGACACCCAGAGATGAACACATTCATTACACAAAGATTTATTTCATGTTTTCCCTCCCATTAACTTTGATGCTTATAGCCTATTAAACCAGTAAATAACAGCATTGGGGTAAATGTTCTATATTCTGCTGTTGCTTTATTGACCAACGTCTAACTCTGGGTAATCAAGAATAGGGCTGAAACAATTAATTGGATTAGGTGGATGTAATTCAGTAATCGATTAATCGTTAACTGGAGTATAGAGACTCTAAAACAAGGGTAAACAATTAAAAATCTGCGGGGTCTGAATAAAGAAAATCACCAACCAGTAAAGGTCCAGAGATGTTTTTAATTATTATCTGTTACTTTAAACAGAATTTAACACGGAAATAAAATGAGTTTTTTATGCATCCATGTTATACATAGAATTTTTAAATAAAAAAAATATATATATAATTTTTTTTTTTTTTTTTTTTTTGAAGTAGAGAACAACAATCGCTCAGTTTGGATAGGCAGTTTCCTGATTCACATATTTTATAAAACACCTGAACTGACCTGGATCCATATTTATATTTGATTCTGTTCATGGTGGAGAATCCTGCTTCACAGCAGCAGGTTGAGCCAAACATCCTCTAAATGTGCAGGGTCATCTTTGAGCACCATTTCACTTTTCTTTCACCAGTTCACCACAGTTCTTCCAGCAGTCCACACTTTCTCTTCTTTCTTTTCTCATCATCTTCTCCTTCTTTCCCATCGCTTACCACAGGTTTCTGTTTCTGTGTCTAAAAGTAGCAGCAGCAGCAACCCAGACTGACAGCTCATTGGCTAATTTGTATCCCGTGTAGCCTGGTCCCAGACACTCCGGAGGGCTTTATCATATTAACAGGAGAAGCAGTGCAAGTGAAGTTAGACACTGTCGTCGAACAACATGCAGTAATTTATAAATGTTTTAAATCAGGTTGGTCCGGACCCACCTGCTGGGTCCGGATCCAGACCGCGGTCCGCTAATCCGTGACCTCTGCTCTAAAACATGCCTTTAGCTGACAGAGCAACCCACTTTGAGTAGTAAATATACCCAAATTGTAAAAAAAATATATATATATAAATATTCTCCATTTAAGATAAAAAAAATAATAATTTTGTCAATCAGCTCTAGCCAGAACTCTACAAGTGGAAAAGTTTAAGTTTCACCTGGTTTAATTTCATAAAAAAGTTTTATTAAAGGAATTTTTGTCTGATTATTAATCGATTCATCAAAAGAAATAATCGACAGATTAATCGATTTGCAAAATAATCATTAGTTGCAGCCCTAGTCATACCAACCTAGGCAGAGGAGTACCAAGACAAGATGCTAAAGAAACTAGCTGCTCATAGAGAGCTCTTTCTAAGAAATTAAGTGGAAAGCTGATTGGAAGAAAAAAGCACTGCTAATAAACGTGCAAGAAAATAATGATTAACCACATCCTTATAAACCTTTAAACAACTTTTATTTTGTTAAAATGTGCAAATAGATTAATACCATCTCTGTTCATACAGGCGGAAGGTGTCGTTGACAGCGGCGCCCCTTTAGGCTCAAAAGCTCCCATATGGATTCCAGACCTGAGAGCCACCATGTGCATGATCTGCACCTGCGAGTTCACCCTCACATGGAGGAGGCATCACTGCCGGGCCTGTGGGAAGGTCTGCAGACATTAGGATGAGCCTTCAGCGTAATAAAATACTCCAGTCCTAACCGCAGCTCCACGTCTGTCTGATAGGTGGTGTGTCAGGCCTGCTCCACCAATAAGTACTACCTGGAGTACTTGAAGAACCAACCAGCTCGCGTGTGCGACCACTGCTTCGCCAAGCTTCAGGAAAACAGTAATGAAAAAAAGCTGCAGTTTTTTTTTTTTTACTTGGTTATGTGGATTTGATGCATACAGTCGATATCTTACCCTGAGTAGTTAAAGCAAGCTGAATTTCTTTCACTAGCAAAATCATAATTTGTATGTAAAACTATGCAAAAACTCAGATAAAACAAACAATTTTCATGTTTTATAATATTATCCATTCCAGGTGACCGCAGAGCTTCATCATCCACATCTCCAATTAAATCTGGAGCGTTTTCCTTCACAAGAAAACAGAAGAAGATCCCCGCTGCACTAAAAGAGGTACAAATCAGCTCAGCGTTTTTCCCAGTTTAGAGAGCGACTTAAGGATCCTAAGATCCGTCTCATCTTTCCGCGTCCAGGTGTCCGCCAACACAGAAAACTCCTCCATGAGCGGCTACCTACACAGGTCCAAAGGCAACAAGAAACAATGGAAAAGGCTGTGGTTCGTCATAAAGAATAAAGTTCTGTACACCTACGCTGCTAGCGAGGTAATCCGCCTGAGCCTGCTGATGTTTTCATAGACGCCACGCCGCTCTGCTCCCTCTAACACTGAGCGGTTCTGTTTTGGCGTAGGACGTGGCGGCGCTGGAGAGCCAACCTTTGCTGGGTTTCTTCCTGAGGGAGGAGAAGAACGGGCCGGCTCAGAAGCTGCAGTTCAAGCTCTATCACAAAAACACGCTGTTCTACATCTTCAAGGCAGACGACATTCCCACGGCGCAGAGGTGGGAAAATTCATCACTCTATTTTTATCAGTTTTTTATCAGTTTCACTACCAAAATATTTTCTATAAATCAAGATAGACACTAAGATTATGGAAGTAAATCTGTGTCGCTGGGATTTGAATTAAAAATGCCACAGAAATTTAAATGTTTTTCTTACTGTTTCAGTGTTAAAATATATTCAGAACACATTTTTGACCTAAAAAAAAAATCATTGTCATTTTTTCTTCAAGCTAAAAATTCACATTACTATTTCAAAATGATTACATTTTCAATACTTATTTTTCTGTTTAATTTTTGAGTATTAAAAAAATCTGCATATAAAAAAATTCAACCTTTTAGAATTCAAACTCAATATTTTCAGCCTCCTGAGATTCAACTGGCTCTATTTCACTGTCTTAAATTCGGCGTCTAAATTCAGCGTAAAAAGGGAAGGAAAATCAACTACAGAAAAATGAAAGTAATAAACTCACCGTTGAGTTAGCGTTAGCTTGTATGACCGGCTCAGTCATGCTGCAAGCTAACGCTAACTCAACTACAGAAAAATTAAAATAATAAACTCACCGTTGAGTTAGCGTTAGCTTGTATGACCGGCTCAGTCATGCTGCAAGCTAACGCTAACTCAACTACAGAAAAATGAAAGTAATAAACTCACCATTGAAATAAATTTCGGTGGCATTTTTAATTCAAATCCCAGCGACACAAATTTACTTCCATATAAGATACAATATTTAGCTAAATATATACTGGAAAAAATAACGTAGAAAACGATTAAACAGTTCTGCTAAGTACTATTTCTAAACAGCTGATATTTTTCCTCTGTTTATCTTTGTTTTAACATGTTTCAAAAAAAGAAATATGTGCATAAAATATGCAACAAAAATATAATAATAATATAGAAATAGACACCAAAAAAGGGTAAAGAAGAGTAAATTGAACAATCAAAAACAGCCATAGTAGAGTTTGAACAGGTGGGTTTACATTTTACACATTTTAATCATTCAATGAGTTCACAGTAAAGATAAATGATGTCAGAAAAAAAGAGGTGTTTCTAAGGATTTTTTAAAATCTAACTTTCTAGATTTAGATCTAACTCTTGTTCAGAGTTAAATACAAGACAACAATGAGAACACTGGAGAACATTTAAAGGCTAGTCAGAATGTTTCGTTTTAGGTTTAGTTATACAGTATAAATCTCACATTGTCTGTAAAAAAAAATTATATTAAATCCTTAAGCAGGAAAAACAGCTTTACCCACAGTAAAACACCAGAAATCTGTTCAATAAAAAAAAATCAACAAAGGCTTTTCTGTGCTTTCATCTTTAGATGGATCGAAGCCTTCCAGGAGGCCATGATTCTGGAGCAGTAGTCGCTTCTGCTGTCAGTGATCAGCTCCAGGAGGAGCTGCAGGTGGGCGGATAGTAAACTGCACATGGAGACATTTGGACAAGCTCCAGCTTCTGATGCTCGGCAATGTGGACCGAGTTCGGAGCGTGTCACAACCGCAGGTCAACGGTCAAGTCCAGAAAGCACGTGTGAGGAAGTACGACCAAAACTGTGCAACAGCTGCTTTAAAGCCGAGAGGTCTGGGGACGAGTTTCAAAATGCTTTCAGATGAAGGAATCACTTTTTTGTAAAGCAGCATACACTCACTGGTAAAAAGGAAAGCTGTGGAGATGTAAATATTAAGTAATATAATGGTTATAGTTGGATTCTTCCCTACAGATACAGGAAATGTGAGTTTAAAAATAGGATGTATCTCGTATAGAGAAACAGTATGTTCAGTCTAAGTTCAAAGATCCCCAGTGGACGTACTGTAACGCCCTTAAAAAGGAGGATAAACTCAAATAGCTTATTGCTAAAGAAGCTGGCTTTTCACAGATTGATGCATCATTCATGTTAAGTTAATTGGAGGGATATAATTTAATTTCCCTTTGGGATTAATATATTACTTTTAAATTGAATCGAATATTATTGAAAATAAGTTTCACCAGCAGCAGAGAGAGAAGTTATATGTGATTCTGATCTAATCTAGAGTGAGGGAGCAGTGCTTGGAATAGCCAAGCTACTACAGTCCTCTTAAGCGATTACTGAGCCAGAACAGTTACCTGGACCAAGGAGAAAAATAATGGGATGTTTTTTCATTGCATAGTCGGGGGTGGCGAAGTGGCCATTAGCCATCCAGACTCTATGAAGTATTTTCAATAAAAAGAAACCAGACTCAACGATACAGCCACTATTAAAACAACATGAGCTTCTAGAACACCTCAGCTGAGTAAATTAAGCTAAAGGAGCAAACTATTTTTGTCTGATGTACTATTCAGATTTTATTAGGACTTTCCTTTGCTGTATTGTTGTGGTGTTTAAAACATGTATGCAATACGCAGGGTTTGCTTTTAATCATCTCTGATATCCTTTCCACCCATTTAAAAATCTCAATTTATCTCGATAAAAATTGTCAGCCTAGTAGTTAGAGCAGTGCGCTTCTGCTCTGAGAAAGTTGCAAGTACTGGTTTGATCCCCACAGCCTACACTCTGGGTTCCTGAGCAAGACCGGAAGTCTTGCACTGTGGAAGTCCACTGCACCCCAAGGGGATGGGTTAAATGGGCAGAGTTCATTTCTCCAATGTGAGATGAATAAAGTTCACTTATTATTATTTAAAAGTCAGTTTTTGATTTCGATTGAGGGATCAAAGACAGCAGAAAGCTTACCTGCCCACAGTCACGGTTCTGCTTTCTGTGCCGTTTTTCTGAGGACTGATCTTAGATGAATCCATAGGTGAAAGGCTCCCCTGATAATGTTCTTGGCTGTCAGTGCCTGCTGCCTGATGCTGCCCATCCCCTGGTGGCTCTGCAAAGAATCATTTACACACAAATCTGGTTTCTAAGCCTTTGCTGTATTTCTTTATCAGTGAGTGTATGAGGAATCTGGCAGTTTTGATCTATTGTTTTTGCAGAGAAGTAATGACAAGGAAGTTTGTCTGATAATGTTTGCAGAATCTAAGAAACAAGTTGGGATTTTACTGTGAAAATCCAGCTTTAACGCAAAATTTGTAAGTTTATTTTGAAAGGGTCTAACACGAAATTAATCAGCATCCTGGATAAAACTGGAGATATCACATTTTTTAAAGTAGATATTTTTCAAAATGTCCTTTTTTTCATCTGTTTAGCCAAAACCAGAATGTTATTTTTTGTTTGTTTATTTTTTATTGTGTATAAGGACATAAACAAACAATGCTGACCTTATTCTTTTGTTTTTTGTTTTTTAAAACAAGAGCTAATATTTATAAACTAGGAACATGTATTGTCTGAAAAGCGCAGGCTGCCATTTATTTTCAGATTCAGAGTTTTTTTGTAGAAAAGGATCAAAATCATTGTTTTTGTCCTACTTTTGCACGTCAACACTGTGGGAAGTTTGCATGAACTACGTTTCTTTTAAATAAATGCTCAGAAGCAAAGTTTTTGTTTAGAAATGAATCTTTCAGTTTACAGACACTGGGGTTTTCTTTTCCCTGTTTTTAAGATTAGGAAAAAAATTGCCGGAGTAGTTTGCCATCCGTTTTTATGTTTGCTTTGTGTCTTTTTAGGTCAGGGATTGATTGTGGATCAAACACAATTTATCACTTTATTGGAACTGATTTATGTCGACAAATGAGTTGAAAAATCTCTTTATCGCATCATGACTGAGTTCAAATTTGTCTTTAGGTCTGTTTGGCTTATGTTGTATCATTGTAATGTGATTGTTTAGTTAATGATAAAAAAAAACCTGCTGCAGCATTTTGGGAGAATCAAGTTCTGAAGCCTTCCTGTGTGACTGTACTTTAACATTTTGTAAACAGAGTTCACTCTTGAGGAGAATTTCTAAACTGTCAGGAAACAGTTTTTAATAAAGTGTTTATAAATACATTGACTGTCTCTTGTGCCAATCTGTTTTCTATTTAAGGAAAACCAGTTGATTGCATTGACTCGGATGCAATCCCTCACACTAAGCATGCTTGTAGCAACATTGGAGAGGAAAAACTCCCTTTTAACAGGAAGAAACCTCCAGCAGAACCAGGCTCAGTGTGAGCGGCCATCTGCCGAGGCTGACTGGGGTTCAAGGAGACAGAAGCAGAGACACAAAAAGCAGCTGTAAAAGGCGGCCCCATCCAGGAAACACACAGCCAGGCAGACGAGCTCCGAGTCAACTCCCATGTCGGAGGATGAAGAGAGCAAATCCAGTTAGTCACAGTCAGAGAAACAGGATTACACTGAAAAACAGGCAAATCCAACATCTGAAAACAAAGGTGTTGATGGCAGCAGCACAGCTGATATTTCTCTCCAGGGTGGCGTCACACAAATTGTCCCTGAGTTTGAGAAAATCTCTACCAATTACATATTTGGACATCATAACAGATTAGATTGGGTAGAGGTGGGTAAAGTAAAGTATTTTTTATTTGAAAGGGGACAGTGTACAATTATTGAGGATTATTGACTACTAGGTCTACTGGAGGCTTCACATCCAACATGTCCAGAGTAGACTGGACTATTTAGAAATAGCGCAAATGCGGGTTTAGAAAATTAAAGAAAATAAAAGGAAAGAAAGAAGTCTCCATTAATAGCGGAACCTTCTTTTCGCTTTGTTTCGTCAGGACATATTTGCCGCACTTCCGTCTAAACATGGCGGAGTATTCTAATCTGGTCCGAAGGGCTTTGGGACAAATAAGAGGTCATGGAGGACTCAGGGGTCTTTTACTCCAGTTTTTTAGGTCAGTTCGATGCACCATAGAACCAACTGTTTTCTTCTGTTTTAAGATGATGGAGAAATTAAGGAAACAGGCTTAAATTAGAGCTTATTTCTGTGTCTACGTGAAGCTAACTTAGTTAGCATGTTGACAGCTAACGGTAAATTTGCCATAGAAAATTAGTCAAAATTACGTTTTCTAATGCAGTTCGAAAGAAATCAACCAAATTTTAATTTAGAAGTGACGCGTTCTTTTGTTAAAAATATTTTTCACTTAAAGAATATTTTGTCGTTGTTTAAAATCTTATTTTTCTTCTCGTGCTGCAGGGTAAATGATGTGAAAACAGGGACCCTTATTGGTGTTGATAAATATGGAAACAAATACTACGAGGACAAGAAGCACTATTTCTTTGGTAAGTTAATAATTTCTGACAAATGTTCAATTTTCTGTTACAAATTATACAAATAATTCAGTCTTCTGACATTGAGTTAGACTTCTTGTTTTCAAGTTTATCAATTATACAAACTATAAAGCAATGTAAAATACTTTTTGACAGCTGTCTGTTGTCACTAAGAGTAGAATAACTAGTTTCCCAGCACCATTATTCAAATGAAAAATGTTCAATTCAGGATAACGGATTGGAATAAACTGCATTTTAGTTAATGTCATGTATCTAAATAGTGTTAGTTTTGAATCTTTTTAGCCGATTCACCTTATATCCTGCATGCACTGGTGGCTGTAAAGTCAAGCTTGGATCAATGCTGCCATATTTCTTAAATTTCATTAAAAACTGGGTTAGTTTATTTGTTCCATTTATCCTTTTTACAGCTTGGCTAAAGTCTTTCAGACTTCTAGTCACATCATCTGTTTAAAAATACTGTTTTGGTGGTCTTACCTCCTTGCAGATTTACAAAGTTGATGCATCCAAACTTTTGGGTACTCGCTGTGAACCTAAAATAAATAAAAGATAGTATAAGAACAAATTGAAAAAAGATGAGGAAATATTTGATATTAAACCGTCTTTTAAGTCACAGCAGGTTTGTTTTTAGTTAACTTTTCTAGATTTCAAGTCATTTACCTTGAAGATCAATTTAAAAACGTATTCTGACGGATTTTGCCAACAATCTCTTTGTTCAGGACGTCATCGTTGGGTGATCTACACCACAGAGATGAATGGAAAGAGAACAGTGTGGGATGTGGATGGCAGCATGGTGCCTGCTGAATGGTTTGATATCCCTCTTATTTCAAATGCATACAAACAATTATAGAATACGTTCAATCTTTGTATAAAGTTCTTAAACTATGTTGAATCAATGAAAGAGTTTGATGCTTTAAATTAAATTCTGATCAAGTTGAACATTGTTGCATAAATGCAAATTTAACCAAAAACGTTCTTCCCTATTCATTTACATCGTTAAGGCACCGCTGGCTGCACTGTATGACAGAAGACCCACCCACCACACATCCTCCAGAGCCCAAGAAGTTCCTCGCTGATGTTCATCAGTTTAATGTGAGCGGGACCTCGCAGCAGTATGTGCCGTACCCCACCACCCGGCAGAAGATCCATGAGTGGGTTCCTCCTAAAGCCGGAGCCCAGTGAATTATGACTGCTTTATCTTTATTTGTTAAATAAAATTTTGTGCCCAAATAAAATCTCTATCCAGATGTTTAAAAGTGTACGATGGTCTATAATTTAACTTTTTGTTCTCATTATGATTACATATTGAAGTTCTGTTTTTTGGGGAAAAAAATGAGAGGGGACAAACTTTTTGCTTCAGTCATGAGTTAAATGAAATTACATTGTCAAATCCAAACAGTTTTTTTCCCCTAAAACCCATGAAGATCAATGATTCCATATGAGCTGGGCTTCTTCAAAAAGAGAGGTTTCCATTTCCCAATCTTGTAAAAGAACAAAACAAAAATGGCAAAAGAAAATGGGAACAAAAAAAAAAATAAATGCAATTTTTTATAGGATAACTTTTTAGAAATATATAAATTCTTACTTTACATGATATTCATTACTGCTTAAAGCTTGAAAGAAAAAAATTATCTCAACCATGTCTTTCTTCCAAGCACTTAAAAGACAAGCCATGGTTTCTATTTTCCTTACATTTGTCTGTGAATACTGCATTTGTCAGTCTGGTCATCATTATTAACTTGTTTCATATAATCAGAGAAAATTACAAAAACAAACAAGAAATAAACAAATACAAGCCAGCATTTTTGTTCAAAATTTGTTGTTTAAATACATTTTAATAAATGTTTTCTCTCTTTTCTCCAAAACAGTATGTGGGGGAAAAAACGGCAAAGGGAAGTAGAACAGTCCATGAAAATTTTAAACAAACATAAATTTTTACATTTTGTTAAATAAAGCAGTAAGCATTAGAAGCACTCCCTCTGGTGGCGGTTGAAGCAAACAGGTTTTGTATTTTGGTTTTGGTCCTTTACACTTTTTGCCACAGTTCCCACCTCGCTCCAGTAAAAATAAATAAATGAATAAACACCTTATTTGCAATTCTGAATATTATATGTTAAAGTTGAAACAAGATTTTTAAAAAGCAGCAAAAAAAATAAATTATTCTCATTTTATTGCATCACATGGGACCTAAGCTTTCCTTTTCAAGGTTACCAAAATTATTGAATTATTATTCTTTAACCTTAAAAATGTAAACACATTTTCTTGGTTTTAGGTTGTGCTATTTAAACTGTATGATATGACATTTAGCTATTTTTTCACAAGCTTCTTTCATCAGGTTCTTGAAAGTTTTGTTTCAATCCTTGTCCCGATTGAACTTATATAACCAAGTCAGGTTTGAATTTCACATTGCTTGTGCACATGTTTGAATTCTGACCACAATTTCTACATGTTGCAGATGGTGATGAATATTCTAGTAGCTTTCAGGTCTCTGGATCATTGGGATGATGTTCCAGGACGCTAATGTAATTATAGTTGTCATGGCGAATCAGGAGTTGTAGTATCTGAACACCAGAAGTCACAGCTCCAAAAATTAAGGTGTGAATTTGCAGACTCTAATTAGAATTTTTAAGTTGCTTTTAAGGTAATGGCTTTCTTCTCGCTGAGTGTCTATCCAGCAAATGTCACTCATGTCTGAGGTTTAAATGCACAATTGCTCCAACATGATTTATCCGTGAGAAAGAACCTATTCCTTATATTCAGCAGTATGATGCCTGGAGATAGGTGTTATTGGGTTTAGATTTAAATTCAGTTATTAAGGCAAGATGAGACACTATATTAGGTTCACAAAAACAGGGCAATAGAGGAAAAAATTCCCCCTTTGTTGCTCTGAACAAAGTTTTACAAATCTATTCCAAAATACTCTAATAAATGTGTATTAAATCTCTCTAGTTTGGACAAGTAGGTATATGTAAGTTGTCATGCTGATGTTAAGGCAGCCTTGATGCAAAAAAAAAAAAAAAAAAGCGGTAAAAGCTGTCTCTGGAAGATGTCTAGTGCTGCTACCACAGATGATCTCGCTCTCCAAATGGAATTGAACGATTCAGATTAGCTCGCCGAATGAATAGAAGGACTAGAGCGTAGCCGCCTGTGGCCCGGGCTGCCTGTCACAACTCCAGTCCGTCGCGCGGATGACGTCATACTGTACACACGCCACTTTGTTTTAAACAAATATAAATATAAATGAAAAATGGCCAAAAATCGCACTTTGAGCCAAAATGGCCGACTTCCTGTGGGTTTTAAGGCATACCTCCAAGAGACTTTTTTTCATGATTTGATGAGATCTACCTGTGTGCCAAAGTTCAAATCTCTGTGACTTACAGTTTCCCCCAACTCACGTTAGGGGGCGCTGTGGCGTAATTTGGGGGCGGCCATTTTGGATTCCATTACAGACCGGCTATTTCACGCGGGGGACAATTTATTGCCACGTTTTCCTGAGTTTTTGAATATGCGAAGTCCCCGTAAAATGCGTTCGAAATGCCAAAAGAACCGAAATAATAATAATAATAATAATAATAATAAGAAACTTTCGAAATACAATAGGCTATTGCAGCCTTCGCTGCTCGGGCCTAAAAATATAAGCGCGGATGTCTGGGGGACAGTAATTCTCCAACATGTTATGAATGCTGGTGTACCATAAAGAATAAATTATGAACAGTTCAGTTTGTGCCTTCAAGTCGTTGCCCATTGGAATACGTTACTTGGATACAACCTAACGGAATATCTTCAGAACAGCTCCAAATGATACAAAACTCATATGGGTGAGTAGAACATGATGTAATAATGTAAAAAAAACGGTGTTCCCCTAAAAATAAATAAATAAATAAATAAATATCTGATTTATAGTCCCCACACTGTAGATATATTAGAATCTGTCCTCAAATTACAGCCAAAACTATTTACACATTAACAGATAAAAACAATTAAATAAACCAAACATTACCGCCACATATCTGACTCAGTTACCATTAAAGTAACTATTTGTATTAATTTCAGACGGAACTAGTCACATACTTGGATAATATTAAACTGAACTTCAAAATATTCCCGACTGTTCAGCACCAAGTATCATTTCCTCTGATCACAGAGCAGCCGGTTTGCTTGGTCTCGCAATGAATCTTGGGATATGTCGGACCTGTCCTTCAAATCAGGCAAAAAGGACGCATTTGTAGGCCGCATAACAAGGAGTCTTGGAATCCGACCAGACCTCGGCACTATGACATAATCGTCCTTTGAATCTGGCCTTCTGAGGACGCATCCCATGAATTCGAAAAGAGCAAAAAACTAAAAAAGTCATATTCCGCCCCTGAAAGATGTCCCCCTGTGTGGTGAGCCACATCAACCTCTATGACCACAGTGATTACATGATGTATATATTAAAAAGAATTGAAGCAAATAATGATAACTCTAGATTAAGAACTTTTAAGTAGAAACTAAACAGTGAGTTTTGAGGATTTTTTTAATTTTTATTTTTCGTATTAATTTTAGATTGGTTACAATACAAAGAACAAACCTGTGCCGCTTTATGCATACATACATTAAAAGAGGGGGAAAAAATAAATAGATAAATAATAAAATAAAAACATATATATCAAAAATTAAATTTTTATTTAAAAAAAAAAAAAAAAACAATATACTCCACATGAACAAGGAACAAGGAGTCAATCCTCTCACGTCCACCTCACCCCTTAGCCATCAGAAGAGGAGAACAGAAGCAAGCAAACATAAATAGTGCTATAAAAGGAAATAAGTAAAAAAAAAAAAAAACTAGAATCCTAGTGACCAAGCAGAAAAGACTCAAGGGGACCGCAAAGTGCCAAAAATGTGTCTGTTCTGTGATTAAGATCGTGGGTCAGCTTTTCCAAAGGAAGGATAACAGATATCTGTGTGAGCCACATATTTACTGTGGGAGCAGAAGGAGAGGTCCATTGTAACAAAATAAATTGGCAAGAAATTGAAGAATTGTAAACAAGGATTTAGAATGTGCACCCATATGATTAGGGGAAACATTTAGAAGATAAAACACAGGAGACAAAAAAAGGGGTACCCCCAAAATCTTTTCAATCACCAAATGAAAGTGAGTTTTTAGGATTTTAATAAGCTTTCAGCTCAGCGTCTGTATTGGATGTCTGTTAATCACCGTAGGATTAGGCTCAGCTTAAGGAAAACTGCAGAGTGCAACATTTCACACAGAGGTAAGGATAGATCTTACTTTGACGAGCAGCCGGAAAGAAAATAACTGGACCGCTGGAAATGCTAAAGATGATTCAGCAGCTTTGAAAACCAAACAGCAGGTTTGTGTGCTTTTATTTTGAACATTAGAATATAAAGTCCACTATACTTATCATTAGGTCAGTTGCAGGATTTTAACATTGGATTTTACCCCTGCAGGATAAATCCCATGAATGAGTTTAAGGGACAGAGATTGTGTTTCCAGGAGACATTAGTCAAAAAACGGTTCCAATATGGGATCTGATTAATTTAATGCTCCTATGAAGATGCACCGTAGGACACCAGGAGAGTCCATGGTTTTTCCTCTGAATAACATGCTAATCTGACAGGAAGCATGCAACTTCCTTGCTAGCTACACTATTTGGATAGCACTTATCATGGTGACCACTGAGGAATTTGCACTTTGGCTTAAATATCCTTTCGGGTTTGAGGTGTTATGATTGAGCAATGATCTCATTCATATGTCATTCTCGAGTCTGCAGTTATGACAAAATGCTGGTTCTCATCTGTATTCCTGTCGGCCACTTGTACAGTGGCACCACTAATTATTATAAACATTTAAGGAACAGTAAAGACAACATATTTCGATTGCAGTGTAGGAGCAGCAGGAAGGCAGTGTATGGTATTCATTTGAGTTGAATATAAA